GTGTGGTCAGTGGAAGAGCACAGATGTTAGTGAACACAGATGTTCCATCACAGCTGCTTTATAAGCATACTGCTTAGCCAAAGAGAGCTGCACAGATATTCCAGACCATAGGTGTTCTAACTGCCTTGGTCATCTTATATGCTAGGGATGTCAAATTCCAGAATCTTCGAGCAAAGGAAAGCATGGCTTCACCAAGAGTTGGTTAAAAAGCTACTTCTGTACGTTGTTCAAAAGAATGGAAGAGTCTGAGTGTCTGTCTTTTTGATATAGTATCTTCATCACTCATTGTAGTACCAGCAAGATCCTAGGACTTGAAAGTCAGATTAGCAGCTTGTCTCTTGAAGAGAACACAAGAGTGTGCAGCCCACTGATAGCAGACACCATATCAGGTGTTTGGAGGTCTTCAAAGTGGCAGGCAAAGCCCAGCACAAAGAAATTGAAGGCAGGGCTTACCTACAGCTAACGAAGGCCCAGATGTGTCACAACTCCTGTGACACACAGACTGTGTGCCAGAGCTTGTTACTCCTTGATCTCAATGTCCCCAGCATCATGAAGATGGGAAATTAGCTTTTAGAAGGATTTGGTGCTAGCTCAATATTTATTTTATGACTCAACTCAAACAATTGGCTAATAGCCCATGATGTTAGACTCCAAAACAATGTGAGTACCTGGTTCCCACCATAGCAACTTACATATTAAACTCACAAATATTAGGTGCAGTTAGAACTGTTTAGAGAGGTGGTTACAAAAACAGTACATTTGAAACCTAGTGAAACTTGAGAGCAAAAGAATAAATACAATGCAGGTAGTTACCTTTATAGGTCTTCATTTTTCCCTTTGCAGCCTTTAATTATGATGTTAAATGTATTATTATCTTTCCCATGCATGATTCTACCTTTAAGAAACTGTACATTCAGGTTGAGAATGTAGTTCAGCGGTAGAGCACTTGCTTAACATGCACAAGGACCTGGATTCAATCTTTAGCACAGCAACAACAAAAAAGTACATGTCAGTACATTTTCAGATTCCATTTCCTCATTCTTATTTATAAATTTTTGACATTTCCTAAACACATATAGAAACTTTTTTTTAACTTAAAAAATTTTATTATTTTTATTTTATGTGTAGGAGTGTATTACCTGCATGTAGGTAAGTGCACCCTTGTCATGCAATGCCCGCAGAGGTTAGAAGAGGCTGTTGGATCCCCTGGGACTGGAGTTACTGACAATTGTTAGCTGCCATGTGGGTGCTGAGATTCAAACCCAGGTCTTCTGCAAGAACAACCAGTGTTCTTAACTTCTGAGCCATCTCTCCAGACCCATACAGAAACTTTTTTAAAAAATATTTTATTTATTATTTTTATTTTATGAATATATTGCCTGCATATACATAAGTGCACCTGTATCATACAGTGCCCTCGGAGGTCAGAAGAGGCTGTCAGATCTCTTGGAACTGGAGTTATAGACAGTTGTTAGCTGCCATGTGAGTGCTGGGAACTGAACCTGAGTCCTCTGCAAGAGCAGCCAGTACTCTTAATCACTGAGCATCTCTCCAGCTCCCAGATACTTATTTAAAAATTATTTTATTTTTTACAAATTTTACTTATTATTTTTATTTTATGTATATGAGTGTTTTGCCTGCAGGTACACATGTGTGCAGTGTCCTCAGAAGCCAAATCCCCTAGAACTGGAGTTGTAGATGGTTGTTAGTTGCCATGTGGGTTCTGGGATTTGAACCCATGCCCTCTGGGAGAGCAGCCAGGGCTTTTAACTGCTAGACCATCTCTCCAGCCCTGATTTATTTTATTTTTAATTATGTGTATATGTGTGAGTCTGTAGTGGGGTATGTGTATTATGTGAGTGCAGGTTCTTGCGGAGGCCAGATGAGGCATCTGATCCCCTGGAGCTGAACTTACAAGCAGTTGTGAGTTACCCAACATGAGTATTGGGAACCGAGTCAGATCCTGTGTGAGAGCAGTATGTGCTCTTAACTAATGAGCCATCTCTTCAACCCCCAGAAGTTTCTTTTTAAAGAAAGAAAGTTATCTATATAATCTAATCACTTGAACATAGCAAACATTCTTCTTTCTTATTTGGGGGGGGATCTGCTTTTAAAAAGGATATAAGCTGGGCATTGTGGTACACACCTTTAATCCCAGCACTTGGGAGGCAGAAGCAGGTGGATCTCTATGAGCTCCAGGGCAGCTGGGGCTATAGGGAGACCCTGTCTCAAAAAGATAAAAAACAAAACAAAACAAAACAAAACAAAACAAAACAAAACCCGTTGGGC